TTGTTTGGCCCAACGTTGTTCCCCAACGCCAACCATACAACCTTTAACAAATGTTGGCCCAACATAGTCATGCTATCTGGGCACTCAAGATGATAACTTGCATATCAACTTACATATCTTGCATGTTAACATAATTATCTCGCATGTTGACATAAATGAGTCGCATGTTGACATAATCATCTTGCGTCTGACTTTGAATGAATTGCATTTAAAATGTCAGATACGGGCGTTAGTAGGTCAATTTTACCCATATCTAAATTATATTTTCTTATAAAATTGGTAACTTGCATGTCAACATGTTTACCTTGCATGATGATATAAATATGTTACATGTCTACAGAATTTTCTTGCATGTTAACTTAATTTATCTTGCATGTAGGGGGCAGAAATATGCCACCATACTACATAATTAATTCGCATATTGACGTAAGTTAACCTCATCTTGCATAATTAATTTTGTTGCATCTTGCATCTACGATGTCAGAAACGGGCGTACGTGAGTGATTTTAACCATATTAAAATCAAATTCTCTTACGAGAATTGTAACTTGCATGTCAACATAATTATTTTGCATGTTGACATAATATTCTTGCATGTTAAATGAAATAAATTATCTTGCATGTAGGGGCAGAAATATGCCACCACATATATCTTTAACTTTTTTGATTTTTTTAAGTAACAATTATTTTTAAAATTATACTGGACTGACTTTTCCCGATGATTTTCTCAAACAGTTTTTATTGTTTCTATTTTATGTCAGAAATTCTAACGAATGAATCGTAATGACACTTTCGTTTTTTTAAAAAATAAATGAACGTTTCAACCTTTTCTAAAATTCATTTTATGTATTACTAAGTACACCATTTGTTTTGTAAAAAATGAAAGGTATCACACATTTTCCTGCTTGGTTAAATGTAATAATTTCTTTCCCTACATTTTCTCTAACAGGTGGTGCATTAAATTTTGTTTTTAAAGAAAGATCAAATACACATGTAGCTGCAGGAGAAATTCAAATTATGGGTATTTTTCTTGACGTAAAATCCAGCTATATCTAAAATCAAATGTATATAATTATGTGCATGTTGAACAATGGTACAATGTAGACTTATTCGATGTCGCGTTTAAATGATCCACATGCAGCATAAAGTCCGAGATTACAATTTAAGTGGTATTCTTTCTTAGGTACGTACAATATATATATTCCATTATGATACTCAGTTTTCTTATATAATTTTCACTCGTGTTTAAACGATACTATTCATAAAACAAATGTTTTACTAAAAAAATCTTACGTACAACTTTTCTGATATACATGTACGTTTAATTGTCTTATTTAATCGTTAATTACTTTTTTGTTGAACTTTAGTTATATATACCAACGATAAAATGTGTAAAATGTTTTAAGGTGAAATATCCCTCTGCTCCAAATTTCGCCCCCTTCCAAATATTTATTTTCTTTAACAGCAGTAGCATTAGATTCAAATGGAAAATATTTGGAAGTGTGAAGCCTTGCTTACTTTTCAGAAATCAATGATATGTCAAATCATGATGTGAAGAAAATTTGTTATGGTAAATAGAAAGATATATTATTTTTATCTCAGAATATAATTAAAAATAAAAGGTGTGTATACTAATAATGTTCACACTCATACCTATCTAATTCTCATTGGAAAATATTGACGCGGTGCTTTTTAAATCAGAATATCAAATTGTTTTCTGTATTTGTAAAATAATACGCATCCGTCAACAATAGTTGTCTTTCCATTTTCGCCCTTAAAAATATTTTATCAAAAAAAGATATTGATTAAATGCTGATAAAAAATTCTGCATCTAAAATTTCTGTAACAATTACATGAATTATATGTTCGGCCTGAGAGATAGAAATATTTCAATTTACACCGTTTAAAGGAACTGAGTGTGAATGGTTTGTATACCCTAATATAAAAAAAACTAGTAAAAATATTGGCAATAGAAACTAAAAATCAACATCTTGACAATTGAACAAATTTGACCGAGTTGAATAAAAAATGGTCCTCATGAATGAAATAAGTAAAATCTTACATGAAAATTCCTTGAATTTCATGTAAAAATGTCTTCAGAAAGTTATCTCTCTTATCAGAGAATATTACACCTTAAACCTAAACATTGTTTGAACGAGAAGTATACCTTAATAAGTAAAGAAAAGTAAACTCAGTTTACACAAATTACACATCTTTGAATTGTATAAACTTATAAGTTCCTCTAATCGCACGATGTTCGCAATCATATTCAATTTCAGTTTGTCGGGATGCATGAGAAAAGGCCATCAGCAGTGCGTGTGTTGGTATCATTATCTCTTCCTTTTTGCCTTTGGCTTTGGGCCATTGTCGCACCCGGATGCTTTATCATAAAATGGGAAAGCACAAAAGCACTACCTGTATCAGTTCATAAGGCAAGATATTGTATTGAATTGCTATAAGCTTACACATATATATGAAACACCTGGACTGTCTAATCATGTGACTCAGTCATTATGTGGTGTGTACTTATCATTATATGACGTGCACATTTCATAAATTATGTACTTTCAATAGCAATTACGTCCTGAATTTATCGCATGTTATGCAAACATCTTTTTGTGGTGTGGAGGCTTTAAAACATTTTGTTGATATCGTTAATGCCCATCTTCTTTTCTTCTGCATATATTCATCATAAGATGACTTAAACATAAATCAGATATGGATTTATTGATTGAAATATTTTATTAAAATACCATAAATTTATATTGAACAGATATAATGGTTTTAAGTTTATTGAATTTAATTTCTTTTCATAAGTATAAGTGAAAAAACTCGTAAACAAACTTTCCAAAAGTGATGCTACATGTACGTCCTTTAAATATGATTTTCGAAAAAAATGATTTTTTCAAATGCAATTTCTATGTTTGAATGTCTGCATTATCCACTGTTGTAAATGAAGAAGGAAGATGTTTCTATCACGATAAAAATTGTGAATCACGACGAAAAGATGTATTAATAACTTACACCACACACTTAACTTTGAACACGACGTAATTGCTTTTGAACATACACGATCGAATGAAATATGCATTTCACATATTGACAAATGCACACCGTATAATGAATAAATCATACAACATAATGGCAAAAGCACATCACATAATGATAAAATCACATCACGTAGTGATAAAAGCACATCATGTAATGACTTAGTATGTAAACCAAAAATGACAAAAGCACACCACAAATAATGACAAAAACACACCTCATACAATGACAAAATCACATCACATAATGACACGCGTACATCATATAATGATAAAAGCACATCACAAAAAGAAATATGAACATCATCAAATTATTTTTGTCAAGAAAAGACTTACCAATGTCACTTACAATTTACTCATAATGTTATAGGTTACGAAACATGACTCAAAGATTGTGACTATTATCAGAGACACAAATAAAAACATTATTTATGTCTCTGCTGCGATTATAATGCTTGTCGAAGAGTACATTACATTTTTAAAAATGCTGATGAACGTTCACTCGGCTTGATAAAATGTCTGTTCATGTAATGATGCGAAAATGAATATTCATTGCCTTGATTCTGAATATTAATCATTCAGTTTCAAGAATAAATATTCTAGAAGATACAATTTCTATTAAGATTGTTCTGATTCTAACAGTGATGCATGTTTATAATTAGTTCTATCCAAACAAATTACTGTGATAAATTAACATGTCTTTCTTTTTTTAGTATAACCCTCTTGTACCCTCTTTGATGAACAGTAAATCTGACCCTCTGAACACTACGGTAATAGACCTCATTAACAAAATCAACATTTATTCATTACCAAAACTTTTTGAATGTTATAAATAAATCTAGTAATCTAATAAATCTTAATAATAAATCTAGGCTATAAATGACACATTTATAGCCTAGAGTTCATGTATATGTACATGTTTATGTGATGTCTACCATCCTCGATATACATGTATATTTTTAATTGAAATTTAATCTATCTTGATATAAGATAACTCACATAGAATGCTTACATGTATGATGCAAAAAAAGATGAATTTATATATATTTATTTAAACTATAAGCATAAAAGTCATGAGTACAATTTGTTAAGCAAAGATTTACACGTTTATGTTGGTGTAAAAAAATCACCAATGCAGTTTGTTAAATGATCTGAAACTACATCTATATTGCAACCATTTCCCTTTTGCTGTATAAAGAAAAAAGATTGTTTCAGATTGTGCATCTAATTTCTCGCATAAATTTAGAAAAAATTATCCCCCGAAAAAAACTCTCTCTCTTTTAGGAGGGATGATGTGCAAAAAGCTTGACTAACGATTGCATGCTGACGAGGATTAATGAATACGAACCAAAAAGAGCAAAATCATTAGATTGATCAGATAACATTGACATGAATGCGAATTAACCTACAAAAAAATTCAGATATGTTAACATTTGCCATATCAGATCTTTGACATACTGTTAATCATACTTCATTCGCTAGAATTTACGATTCAATAAACAATCCACTTGCGACTGTAACGGGAACCAGTGTTATCAAGGGACTAAAATAAGACAAACCTTTCCCAAAGTACAAGTCCTAACTTTGATGTAATAATTTAATTCAATATACTCTATTGATTATAGTACTTGGGATTGGAAAATCTTATTAAACCAATATATATGGGCCACACTGGTTAAATTATTTACCCAGGTTCTTTAGTGATTCCCAGATTATGATCATCACCTTGTTTTGAAATGAAAAGATTTGTAAAGTTTTATAATTTATTATAACAAAGGTAAAAATAGGACTTTAGACTAGTTGATAACAAAAAGCAAAATGTTTCCAAAAAAAATATAACAAATGGATTTATCCAAAAATAATTAAATAATTGAAAAATATAGGGGGAGAATGTGACTTCAAAAATATGTATTTATTGTACTAAAGAGCTTCCATACACCCAAGAATGTAGGCCTATATAAAAATAAACATAGGGATAACCTATCAATATATGTAACTGAAATAAGGTGAGGGATATCTAATTCTACCCTGAACCAATAAATGAATGACTCTACTGTGGGTATCTACATTATACTACATAAATTTGCTACCGAACTTGAAGTTCTTAAGAAGCACGAACCTTGCGTTCTTGACCCCTAGTAGAGTGAATTTTACTAGTTGAGTAGCTCTATATATAGGCAGAGTAAGCCAATTGTATACTAAAAATAAATGCCTAATCTGATTGGCTAGGACTAAGTCTCTTAACCAATAGAATTATAGAATACATATTACGTTTGGTGTGACTGACAATATGGCGGGTACAATGAATTACTTAAAGAAGTGAAAGGTAAACATCTGTAAAGTCGAAATATTAACTTTGTACTATTTTGAAATGACTTGGGAAGTAAATAAATGTATAATAGGCATAATGTATAAACATTATAGCTATAAATCTGACTTAGTAAGATAGTAAAACATCAAAATTTTCACATTCCTCCCCCCTTAAAACAAAAGTTACAATTTTTGTGTAAATGTAAACAGATAAATTTTATGTTAATTAGTGTTTATATCCTCCATCTGGATACCGATGATCCCTGGCATTGTAGTCGTCATTGAGTGTGAAGAGGGGCTCTCTAGGTAGGCTTTGCTGCCTCTCCAACCTGGCTTTTACCCTTTCTTCCCTATGGATTCTCTTCCGTGGGCACTTGAAAGATCCAGGGTTCACATACTTCTTATTTGTCACTATCTTCCAGGGAATTTGTCCCATAAGTTTGTCCTTGTGTTGTTTCCTTTGATGCCTGGTAATCTCTGATCTCTTGGCATCTTTCACGTGACATAAGGGGCAACTGAATAGCTGTATCCTTTCCTTGTGAAAGCGGTCGAAGTGTGCTTTGTAATTTCCTAGATGCTGGAAATGATGGTCTTTTGAAGTGCAGTTGGGGGCGGGACAATTCATTCCCTTTTCTGGCCACTCATCACCTTCTTCCTCTTGTAACAACTCCTTCAGTTCTTCTTCATCAACATTAACATTAAGAACGTCTTCCATACTAATAAAAACAAGATTCAAACAAAATATTATTCAACATATAAAATTAATATTTTTCTTCAGCTCCACCTAAGCGAATGATTACTTAATACGGAATGTAATGTTAAGTTAGATATATCATGACTATTCATCGAACACGCTAATAAGTTAATAATAAATATACCGGTATAAGTTAAACTTAGCATGTGTAGAGATCTCTACTGTTGTACTTCCATAACTTCTATCATAATCATGATGTCTAACTTACTGGATTGTAATCTAACTCAGTAAATTAAGATAATTTCTCTGTTCATCTACTGAACCACAAATATATTGTAGTTTCTATCAATGAATCATATCTATAAAACTGAAGTAAGATAAATTAAATGATTTAAGACAGATGTACTGTTCTGACTTCTAGATATTATATACTAGGTCAACTACGGCGTTTCATGAAAAATGAAGCATCTCTCATTGACTATATCAAATAATTTAATCAGAATCAGCTGTAAGTTTGAAAGAAAAGAAAAAATGGAACTGATAAAAATATAAACTTTGAATGAAGATATCAAAGAAACTGCTTGTGAAAAATTGAGCAAATTTGGAAATATAGTCTCAATGTTATCAACTAATATACCATATCCACTTGTCTATAAATATGTATAATTAAAAAAATAAAAAGAGATTGGTTCAGGGAGAATAGATATCCCTAGGCTTTATAGCTCGACCAACTCTGGACCTCTTAATTACTGGACTGGGGTCTCTTAAAGGAGATGAAACAAATTCATCTTCACTACTGAATTCATTCTCTAAAGGGGTAATTTCGAAATCTGAATTTGTGTCTTCAGGGGGAGTAACTAGTATCCAGCTGTCTGGTGGAGACACACCCTCATAAGGTTTCAGGTGATCCACATGCACTACTATACATGAACTAGTTGGGGTTTTCTTAATTCTATAGGTCACCTCTGTAATTTTGTCTATAACATTATGTGGACCTATCCACCCTAGACCTAACTTTACTCCTGCTGTTGGAGGATACCATCTCCAGACAAAATCATCTTTTGAAAATGTTCTTGGTTTTAAACCCCTATCATAATATTTCTTCTGTTTAATAGCAGCTTGTTCTAGATTCCTATGTACAAAATCATGAGTATCAGTCAAAACACCATTCAACCATTCTACATATTCACTGGGACAAATGGGATTTGGGGTGTCAGGAAGATTACCTATGATTAGATCTATAGGACTATTATTTTCACGACCAAACATGAGCATATTGGGAGAAAAACCAGTACTCTCTTGTATTGATGATCTATAAGCCATGAGAACATATGGTAAATTCTCATCCCAATTATTTCTGTTGTCATTTGCATAGCTAGTTAACATTTGCTGTAAAGTCCTATTAAACCTCTCGACCAACCCATCGGACTGTGGCCTATAAGGTGTAGTCCTTGTTTTTTCTATCCCTAACTTTTGGCACAATGTTGAAAAGAGCTCAGACTCAAACTCGCGACCTTGATCTGTGTGAATCTGCCTAGGAACTCCGAACTTACAAATAAACTCAGAGACAATTTTATCTCCAACTGTCAAAGCTTGATGATCCGGAACTGCATATGCCTCCACCCATTTAGTAAAATAGTCACAAAGAACTATAATGTACTCATTTCCATCACTAGTGACTGGGAGGGGACCTACAATGTCAACTCCTACTCTATCTAATGGAGCACCTGTTATAGACTGATGAAGAGAGGATCTCCCGAAACCTGGACCATTTTTAGCTCTAGCACATGTATTACACTGTGCACACCAACGTTTGATATCTGATGACATCCCTGGCCAATACACTCTTCGCTTAATGGACCTAAGGGTACGCTCCCTACCTAAATGTCCTGCAGTTCTATTATTGTGAAGTTGTTGAAATATTGTCAATCTGATTTCCCTAGGAGCTACAAGCAACAGAACTTCTCTATCATTTGACATTTTCCACTTGTAATACAGAATGTTCTCAACTACTGTCAATGATTCCCATAAACCCCATAATGTTTTTAAATCTTGGGATGCATCTAGTACAGTGTGACGAGGTGGTTTTGTAATGTAAACTTCTTTGAACTTAATGATTTCTCTAATTGCAGGTTCTTCGTGTTGCATGTTTTTAAGCTCATCATGTGACCATGTGTGCAACCAATTTGTGTCATTATCATGAAAAGAATCTCATATCTGTTTCGCTATCGCTAATGGACCTACTAGAAGCCCTTACAGGAGCTACTCTACCAGTTTCGGATTCAGTATGAGAACCCTTATGGTTAGACATTGCCCCTTCATAACTATGACTCTCTACATGACAATCTGGACAGTCTTGACGTTTGCAATAACTGGCAGGTCGACGAGATAAGCTATCTGCATTTTCGTGAAACCTTCCCGGTCTATGTACTATACTGAAATCGTATGTTTCTAAAATAGAAAGCCATCGAGCCAGCATCCCTTCAGGGTTTTTAAAGTTTTTCAGCCAGATTAATGATGCATGGTCAGTCCTAACTGTAAAGTGCCTACCCCAAAGAAAATGTCTGTACTGTCTGATGAATGTAACTACTGCTAATAACTCTTTGTATGTTGTACAGTACTTATTCTGATGTTTGTTTAGGGTGCGACTAGCATATGCTACAACTCTCTCTTCACCATTTTGTATTTGAGACAAGACAGCACCTATACCAGTGTTACTAGCGTCAGTGTCTAGAATAAACTCTGAATGATTATCAGGGTATGCCA